CCGGTGCCTGACGTCCCTGAGCCATAATTTTGAGTATTTGACATGTCATAATCTCCCATTTTATGAATCAGATGTATTTGTAGAGTTAAACGTGGGATTCGATTCTGGAAACGTAGACTTAGATAGCCCTATGATTTTGTGTTACTAGATGAACAAAAAAAGACGCGGGTTATAGGATTATAGAGTGTGTTACATGTAGGTATGAGGTACAACGAATAACGAATGTGTTTGAGGAAGATCGTCAAAATTGATTTTAGGGAATATCTAGAATATCTTTCTCTACGCAGATCTTCCATGCGCATATAGTGAATCGATTTTAATTGGCAACAGCATATATGAGATCTATTCGAGTGGAACATTTAGTAATTTTAACATAATTATTTGTGTAATAACTTTTATTATGCAATAAATTTAATTACAAGTTAAAAAAAACAGTAGCTTATTAAAGTAATAGATTACTTGAAAAGAATTTTTTAATAAAATAAACAATTAAAAGTTAATAAAAATTTATTTTATTTATTTATTTATTTTGTAAATAAATATTATTTTTTTATTTGATTTGTATATGACAGTATTAGAAATATTTTTTGCAAAAAAATTCTGGAAGATCTTTGTTTTTTAAAAAATTTTCAGAAATTTTTGGAGAAATATTTAAAGATCTTTAAAAAACTTTGAAAATTTTAATAATATAATAATTCAAAAATCTTTAAAGTAAATAAAAAATAAAACATTAGATTGGTTTCAAATGTTTTACAAAAAATTGAATTGATTTTTTTTTCTAGAATATTTAATAAAAAATATGTAAAACAAAATTTTACTATAAGTTATTTAGAACAAAATCTTGTAAAGTTTTTTAAAAATTCAGAATCTTTAAATTTAAAATAGTTGTAAAATTATTATTTATTTAAAAATTCTGAATTTTTACAATACTCCAAAGATTTTTTGTCTTAAGTAAATTAAAGTAAAATTTTGTTTTGTCTATTTTTTATTAAGTACTTAAGAAAAATAAATCAATTTAATTTTTTGTAAAATTTTAAAATTATTTTGAACATTTTTGAAGTTTTATTATTTTTAAATTATATATAATATTTTATAATGCTTTGAAAATTATTATTAATTACTTTTATCTCTTAAATTATAATATAAGCAAATTTGTCTACATATTTAAAATTTTAATAAGTTTTTAAAAATTTTTAAATATTGATTTTTATAATTTACTTATACTATAAAAAATATAATTTAAGATATTCTTTATTAACTTTATTAAATAAAAAATTAAAATTTTATTGGAAATTTTTAAAATAAATAATTTTAAACTTTGTATTTAAATTTTAATATAAAAAATTATATAAACTTTAGTATATATTTAAAATAAAAAATTTATTTTACTAAAACTTATAAATCTATAGTATAGTAATAATGCTTCATAGGTTATTAAAAAAAATCTAGGATTAAAATCTATTTGATTACAAAAATTTATTATCTTTATGATTGGTTAACTGGTTTCCAATATATATTATATTCAATTAGCCAAAAAATTAATTTCAAAAATTAATTAGATTGTATAAAGATGAGATCTCTGATTTTTTTAATAATCATAAATTGAAAACAGTTTAAAGTAGAAAATATTACATAAGAAAAGGCTTCTGATCTAACTACAATATAAGTTTACAATCCTAATTAATATAATAGACTTTGTAATACCACCTCCATCAGGAAATTTTTTAGCAAAGATCTTTAAAAAT